GACCATTGTATAGCTTCAAAGTCGTACAAAGAAAGTAAACTGCCCTTATATAAATAGTGAGTGAAAAGAGAATGTACGCTCTGTCTATTTCAGTACAAGAGAAAAATCGAAAAATATAAAGATAAATAATTGATCTTATATATTCATACTAAGTTATGTTCAACTTAAACTGAAATTTAGCTAAGTTTAAGAAGATGTTGAGTTTGTCAGTGTGTTTCGTTGAAATCTAGTTGAGCTCTGAAAGCCTAAAAATTCGAAATAATATACGATGTATGTTGTTTTGAATACTAGTTAGTTTTAATCTTTTGATGAAGTTATTGACGTTTTTTCACTCTTTCGATCATTTATTGTCGTGCAGTTTTCTATATAATAAATTTATTTCGATTCTAATCTTTAGTAATATATTCTGTTTGCTGACAGCCACCAGAAATGCGATAGACATTAATCTCTGAGAACAAGTGATTTATATATGACAGCTATGAGAACAGTTAATAGCATATAATGAATCACATAGATGATGCAATAATCAATTAGTGGTATGCTTCAAACATATTGTTATGGATTTATAGAGTTTTCTTGTTAATAAATATCAGAATGTCTGCATCTCACCTTTTATGAATTGATCAAAAAATATCTATTCTAGTTACACAGGCAGGAAACGCGCGTTCGACCAAGAAAAGAAAAAAAAGGAGAAGAATTAAGGTTATGTTTATTTCAAACCTTTTTCATATCTATGTCCATATACTTCAGAAATAAGCTTCCGTTTATTCTATATGCTTTGAAATTTAATTTTAAAAATAGATGTTTAAATGTCCACAAACAAACTTAGTGGTAATATTGATAACAAAGATTTTGATTATACTATAGTCCGAACAATCAAAAGTACGACTTAAAATGTTTTAAATTTCATGTTGATGTGTTCTCTTGTTTTCTATATACTATAGACTGATGTGGATGGGTTATATATTTACCATTATAATGCTCTAGTGGTCCTCTATCTATACTATATATCTAAGGTCTTTTTTATCTTTTTGTATGTGTGTGTATATAATTTCAAGTGTAGTGATTCCCGCATACTACAGGGTGGCCCAAAACTCACGCACCAAAGACAACAAATTGAATATCTCCATCATGGCTTGACCAAACGGGCTCATTTTTTTACCAAGGATAGAGGCATGTTCAGAGTCCAAATCCATACGGACAAGGTTAATGAGAACCTTTGTTAAGTATCACTATTGACCTGAACAAGAAAATTTTACTTTTTCACAGATAGGAAAAAAGCAATATACAGGATAATGCAAAAGTTACTTAATCGAAAAGAAAATTGAATATCTCCATGACGGCTCGAGCAAACGAGCTGATCTTTTTACCAAGGATAGAGGCATGTTCACACTCTAAATTCATACGAACAAGGTTTAACCTTGTTCGTGTGAATTTGGACTCTGAACATGCCTCTATCCTTGGTAAAAAAATGAGCCCGTTTGGTCAAGCCATAATGGAGATATTCAATTTTTTGTCTTTGGTGCGTGACTTTTGGGCCACCCTGTATTAAAAATTTGATTTTCATTTGTACATTAAACCCTGTTTCACATATTTGTTATATGATATGTATACGTGATACTATGTACTAACATTATCCTGGATAACTTTTTATCTTATGCTTTCTTTCTTGTTTTATAACATATAGAGTTCACCTGCGGGTATAGAGAGACCACAGCCACTATGCCAACAGGTGAACTCTATATGTTATAAAATAAGAAAGAAAGCATAAGATAAAAAGTTATCCAGGATAATGTTAGTACACAGTATCACGTATACATATCATATAAGAAAAATATAAAACAGGGTTTAATGTACAAATGAAAATCAAATTTGTAATAGTATGCGGGAATCACTACACTTGAAATTATATATACACACATACAAAAAGATAAAAAAGACCTTAGATATATAGTATAGATAGAGGACCACTAGAGCATTATAATAGTAAATATATAACCCATCCACATCATTCTATAGTATATAGAAAACAAGAGAACACATCAACATGAAATTTAAAAAATTGTAAAAAAACAAATTTTAAGTCGTACTTTTGATTGTTCGGACTACAGTAACAGTCAGAGATTCATCAGCATCACTTAACTTGGTACAAGTTTAACTAATTACACAGTTAATTGTCACCAGCTTACTAGTTGAAACTCGCATTCAGCTATTTAAGCCTATTTTAACTAGTGATCCTGTTTAAGCTAGTATTCAGTTAATTGGTACAAGTGCATTGCTAGTTATAGTTCACCGATAAACCATCTAGGCATTTGTCACATCATACATGAACTGCTTCAATATGAATACGCTTATAAACATTGTATATTGCTTTATATATTAACACCGATTTATGAATTTTTACATCATATAGTAAAAGTTTAAAGTCAGAGTATTTGATAAGGCAAAAGATGTGCGACACTAAGATGTAAAACTAGCATCAGAATTTCATGAACAGTTATTCGTAAACCGACCAAGAATCTTTTCATTCATGGTTGACGTGATCTTTGCCTTTTCTCGAAATTTACTAGTTAAGGATTTAAGATGCTCACTTGCTTATTTGTAAAAATGTATTCAAAATTCAAATTCTGATGTTGAAAAGGAAGTTATTACTGTACTTATGATGCAATTATATATGTAAAAATGGTTGAACTGTTGTTTTATTTAAAGATTATTTAGATAAATAATTAAATTCTTTTTTTTCTCCATCGATAGTAAGAACAAGAATAAATAATAATAAAAACTTCGCTGTTTCGCGTCCAACTACCACGAATTCTGCCCAAGTCTAATTCAGTCTGTAATATGTACATATCAACGTGATCAACTGGTTGATATACCAATTTTTATTTTTATTACATAGGTTCATCCATATGTGGAGGAATGTTTTTTTCAGCAGTATATAGTAATCTTGAAATACTAACGCTTTGTTGTTTCAACACTATGTGTTGCAAGAAACGAGAGTCGTCAAATATAGACTTACATCACGCTTCCGAAAGAAAGAAAAATATTTGTATGTCATAGTTGCATCTATTATTAAGGCATTTTTCTCGGCCTTATTGTGGAGTCACAATGTAGAACTCTACTTCTCTGGTGTTTTTTTAGAATCATTGTGTAAAAATTATTCCATGGCTAAGTTTTTATATCAAGTTCTAATAAAAAAATTGAATTAATATGCATTATCAATAACATAGTTCTATTATTAAGTGAGTAATGAAGAAGTATAAATGATAAATCGAGTGTTGTGCGGACGAATAGAATATTTAATAAATTACAGATTTCAGCGAGTTAACAAACACCTACGATTTTATTAATCTTATTGAAATTCATGAATAGCTGGTTTGTAAACAGGAACTTAAATAATATAAGATTCATAAATATATCATACGATACGGTATCACCACCTGTACTTTCAAATCTCTATTAGACATTGATCTAAAAACTTTCATATAGAATACATTTTGCCATCATTATTATACGGAAACCCTTGACAACTCTCGTTCCTGTTAATATATAGAACTCAAACAATAACAAACTATTGGTATTAGATGTCTATCTTGACTGTGTAAAGAAGACTCATTTTTCTGATACGTGACTGAATTTATATTTTAAAAAAAATTAGAATTTAAGTATTAGCCTGACTTGTTACGTGCATATATGATTATCTATATATATATATAAATACTTCTGCTTAAAACTGTCTCTTTGAAGCATAGGAATCTCTGCAATATTTTAGTGTCAAATTTCATTGCAATCAATATTATGAACAAAACAAGATTTTTAAAAAAATATTCGTTAAAAAATAACGTAATGCAATGAAGGAATATCACGCTGGACCTATTCACAACAAGTTGTGTGACGGCTTAGAAAAGCTGACAAAGACTATCGCTGATTAGCTCTTCTTTTATTTTCAGTAGGGTTTACGGTCCATCTTTTGTTATGTGAGTCGAGTATTTGAACATCTTATTTTATGACACTGGCACATTTTTTATAGCTTTATTCAGCTGTACATATGTAGTTCAAGTTACTTTACCTAAGATAAAGTTATCACAGACCTCAATATCAGATTAATATAAGATTTAAAGCAATTGCATGTCATAAAAGATGAGCAGCTCATTAGCTCTTGCTCGTCTGAAAGTAGCTGAACGGTCGAAATCAGCTCAATTAATAGATATTAAGCTACCATGCGTCTAATCTCAATTACAGAATTGCGATCTAGGATGAATCTCATCAAAAATATAACCGGTACGAATTTAGAACATACTGATCTGTTGGTAGCCTGGTCCAATCGATCGGCTAGCCGATTTGATCTATTCAGATCAATATAGGTCATCAAAAATTCAGACCGATTCTATCCCTGGATTCCGTATAGTAAGTGTTGACCTTCTTGTAATTGTAGAATTTTTTTATCGAAGTCAGTTACTAATATAGTTGTTTGGTTAAGAAAAGAGGATTGAAAATCTTAATCTAGTTCTATAGGATTGTATTTTTTTCTTGAAAAATTGTATGTTTGCCACGAAAAACAGATCAATGCCAATGTTTGTTCTCATTCAAAATAATGCTTGACGTTACAGTTACTTTATCCGTCATACTTCGATAAGTTTTTCTTATGTTTAATATAATCTGAAAATTAGATCATTTATATTTAATAGAGATATATGACCTTATCCTGATAGAAACATGAACAGCTTAGAGTTTTTTCATGAGCAGAAAGGAATTTTTAAAGCCATACTGTGAAGCATTTTATTATTGTAAAAACCCTATTTCTTCCAATGCTAATGTCTAATGTTCTTAATATATTTTAGATAATGTGGTTCATATGATTGTAGATGTAAATAAAAAATTTACTTTGATAAGTCTTTTTAAATATAATCTTGAAATTAACAAGATGATTAAATCATATTAAAGAAATTACAGTATAAAATATTTTCTTCATCAAATAAGGCTTTAATTCATCATTCACCATGAAATATTTCACACATGATGGATTATTACAAACATCAACTAGGAAAACTATTGCTGGTTTAATTCCATTCACAATAGTTTTTGTATTTGGTTTTCTTCTTGGCTCAAGTTTTAATGAAACAAAAGGTAAAATACGCATCCTATTTTCATCCGACATAAAATTAAACCAAAGATCATCGAATAGTCATCAACAATCGATAAAATCATTTTATGGTTATAATACTACACATCTTTGGTCAATGCGTTTAGCTGATGAAAATTATTTTCGTCTAGCACAACTTTTACCATGTCGTATTGTTGAATATTCCGGTGGACCAAAAATCGACAAAATTGATTCATGTGATCATTCATCAAACAATGAATTTTCAATACAGAATACATTACAAGCACAAAATTGGCTTTATGAACATCAACATCCAATAGATTGTACGAATAAACGTTTTGCTATTATTCAAAATTATGCTTGGTCGGGTTTTGGATCAACCGTTCATCAAATTGTATGGGCATTTGGTATGGCAATAGCGGATAATAGAATTGGTGTATATCAAGTTCCAGGAAATTGGGTAAAATAGATTGATATCATTGAAATAAACCTTCAGTAATATCCTAGTGAACGTACTTAGTCGTGAGTACTCTACTACCAGTATTTCATAGGAATATTTGAGTACATAATAGCTTTTTTAGCACTTAACTAGAACATGCTTCTAAATATTTAATCTCCTAAATAGTTGAAAAGCTCTTCATAGAATGTTATAAAAACTCCTCAGGTAATTGCTTAGTATCTATGTACTGAGACAATTTTCAACAGAGTACTCGGAACGGTACCCCAATGACAACTGAGCAAGTAGACGAGTACCTTGAATTCAGAACATTGAGTAGAGTAGTTTATTTGTGGAGTTACACTGATTATGCTTTTCTTTTTATTTTTGAAATTATCTACAATTTTGAACTTATCCTTTTACAATATATGACATATGCTAACCGAAATTCCATCAGGGAAAACTTAAAACACTGCCGATGAGATAATTAATAATTCTTAATAATTGATTTTATTTTAGCTTTACGGAGCTTGTAGCTCAAGTACACCAGATTGTTTTTTTCTCCCTATAACTAATTGTTCAATTCCATCTAAAGTCGATGGTAATCAAACAATTAAAATTAATGCTAACACAGGTCATTGGCCCAAGCCTATTCTTCCACCTATATTTCAAAATCGAACATTTAATTGGTATCGTGCGCAATTATTATTTTATTTGATGCGATATAAACCTGAAACATTAGCTCATGTACAGAATACCATAGCACTGTATTTTAAATCACCTTCAATTGATTCTCATCATCCTTATATTGCTGTATATGTGCGTCGATCGGATAAAGTTCGAAGTAGAGAAATGTCTCAATCATATACACTTAAACAATATTTTGATTTATTTGATGCTGATGCTCGACGAGCAAATATAAGCATAATTTATATTAATTCCGAAGATGAACAAGTATTCAATGAGTTTGCTCAAATCAATAAAGAAAAACAAGGCTACTATAAATTATTAAATATAACAGTACAAAGAAATGTTGTTTTTGCATCATTAGTTCACATGAATATTGAACAACGTGGAAAAATTATACTAGAATTTCTAAGTGATTTATTTATTGAAGCTAATGCAGATTTACATGTTGGAACATTAACATCAAATTGGTGTCGATTGGTTGATGAAATGCGGCTTGTACTTGGAAAAACAATTCCTTTTTATACACCTGAAAATAGGTTTTTAATGGATATGCGACGGCGAAAGTGAATAAAAAACAGTATTTTTTTTATCATGTAATTCAATAATGTAAAGTTATGACAAATATCAACTTTTTTTTGTTTCAATATAAAAATTTCGACTTTTTATAAAAAAATACATTTTAATCTTTCAATAAACTCTTTATTTTCAATTTAAATTAATAAAATTGAAGACTGTAAATATTACAAAATGAATTACCGATAATAAGCCGAAAGTTTTCAGTTTTTCCCTTTTTAAATTCGCTATATACATGTATTTTTCACAAAACAAACTTGGAAAAGAAATTTATTTTTCGTTAAAAAAGTGCAATATTCTCTGCATATATCAAAAAATGGGTTTTAAAAAAAAATTTGAAATTTCCTCCTTTTTCAAAAAAAACATATTTTCTGAGAGTGCCTTCAATATTTTGATTCTCGTAAGTCTCAAGATAAATATTTTCTAAAGAAAAAAAAATAACATGCATTTGGATTTAATTCTAGTTGCCACAATCAAAACAAAACCCCAACCATAAAAGCATCCTATAGACTTTTGCAGGAAGGAAATGGAGAATTTCAGATCATTGTTAGTTTTTGGAAGCCTTCGAGGATTATACATTTAGATATTCAGAATCTATGATAACTTTTATTCGACTTATCGAAATTCATGTACATTGAAAGATTCGAAAATTTTTGACAAGTCATTTTTGAGAAAGCTCTAAATAAATAGAAATTTTCTTCAATATAGAACATAATTTTTGTCTATGTTTTTTCTTAATTTTCAATCCAGAAGCTTTACAATCTAAATATATGCAATAAATATCTGCGTCAATTTATCGACATAGTGATACTATTTTTGAATATGTACTATAAATAAGTATCTAATTTTCAAGGTGATGATTTATGTGTTTTTATGTGCAATTGATCAAGTGATTAAAAGAATAACTTGCTATTTATAGAATAGTAATAATCATTTTTATGTTATTTCTATTCTTGTTTTATTTACTGTAAACTAGAAAATGATGATGTAGATTTTCAACATTAAGCAATTATATGGTATAACAATCAGCGAAATAAATAACTTTTTTGTTAATGACACGAAAGAGTATTTCTATATATCAAGCAAATAAATTTAAATGTTTATTTTTAATGAATAATGTTTAATCTTCAAACATCTACGAAACTAAATAATAATGCATTGTAGTTTGATGATCCTCTTATTATTTACTCTTTTTAAAATGCCAATAAAATAGAAAAATGCAATGCAAATGATGTGGTGACAAAGAAAGTTGATGTTCAACTTCATTAACTTTCTCTTAGAACAAACAGTGCAGAATTTTATGTTCATTGGACTTATCTTGTTAATGCAGTAGTATGTTTCGTGTCATTTCATTTTAGATAATCATTAGTAGTGTATTGAGTGAAGTTGAAAACACTTGAAGTGTTTTGTTTTTAATTTTCTACACGAATTCTAAGTATATCATCGAGAAAGTAGTACTGACTACTGAAGTTGATAGTGGATTTGAATAAAAACCTATAGTGGTTTGTTGACGTCCGTCAATATTATACGAAAATATACAATGACAAATTGATTCAATCTGAGTATTTCGTATAATAGTAATTTCACGTAGAAAGAAAAACGGACAAATAAATATAAAACTACTATATATAGTCTGTCGACATTTAATTGAATTTCACTATGTTTCGTTTGGAAGTTCGAGAAAGCATGGAAACAATTTTTGATTAGTAAATATAATATTATAAACCATAGCTAAACATTTGCGAAATATTATTATAAGGTGCAATAAGTGCAAAACTAAAGCAATTTTTTTATATATGATTACACAGAGCGTGACGAATTGGTGACGAATATATATGTTTTCATTTTTTTTTCGAGTAAATGTTTAGGGAAACAGTTATTCCAAAAAAAGAGAAATCACATATATTCTTGATCAATGCATCGCGCTATATCGAACCATATGAAAAAAATTCTGTTGAATTCACGATTATAATAATAATAATAACAATAGTCTCAAGAAAACGAAACGAATAGACAAGAAAAGAAATAACGAATGAATAACTAGAAAACAAACAAATAGTGGAACGTAAGCAAAAAATAAAAACAGAACAAATGTTTTTCAAAATGCAGATATAAATATGATATTTGAATTTGATAAACTGAATTTTAGATGTTTATATACGAATAAATTATATCACTATTCTACTACTTTTATAAAAATCGTCAAAAACAAAAAAAAAATAGCTCTATACCTTAATGCATTATCTTAAATAAAGTATGAATCTTATCCTATGCATTTGTTATTCGTATTATTTTTACTATATCTTTGTCGGTTCAGTAATGAATAGTATGCAGCATATTAGGCATTTATTTTTTTTTTCTTACAAAATATCATGAGTTTCAATACTTAACATACAGATCGCAGGTTTCTAATTAATACAAGAAGTAAAAAATCGTTACAAAAAAAACTTATTTATAGCAGACAAAAATGAAACATCGATAAATTCAATTTTATGTCATTGTTTACCTATCGATTACAATTAATAATTATTCTTGAATAAATTGAATATCAAAACCAAATTCAATTAATTTTTGATGCAATAAGTTTCCATAACCTCGTTGAATTTGTTCATATTGATGTATAATAATTTCATCATTTTTATTCCATTGATTTGTATTGACATGATATAATGCAAGTAGTAAAACTGCTACACCACTACGTATATCATGAGCAAATAAATCTTTACAAGGTTCTGTATTATGTTTATTTCTATCATATAGAATTTGATTACCATTAGTAATTATTTCATAACCAAATTTAGTAAATTCTTTACATTGTGTATTACGTTTATCATAAATATGATCAATAAGTTCAAATGAAATATTTCGAGCAATAAATAAAGCAGTTAATATAGGTGAAATATCTGTTGGTAATCCATTTGGATAGATATCACAAATTAATTTATGTGTATCATTATGATTATGAATAAAACTTGTTCTTCCATCAACTATAGCATTTTGATTAGTATCATCAATAGTTATTGATATAAATGATTTTAAATATTCAGTTATACATTGATCATATTCAAAATTATCAATTATAAGTTTAAATTGAAGCATTGCAGCAAAAGAACACATTGTAAATAAATAAATTTGATCGATTGGTACATGTTCAAGTACAAGATCATGTTTTGAATATAAATGATTTTTTTCAAAAATAATTATACGTTCAGAATCATTTACAATCATTGGACGATATTGTGATGCAAGTGTAATTACTGTTTGTACAGATATTTCAAGTGCAACATAAGTTAATTTACATTGAATATGACTTGGAAGTGCACAACAACTAAGTAAAGCATGTATAGTTAAACCAACACTTGATATACCATTTTTAGTTCGACAATCAAATTCAAATTCATCATTACAATTATTCCAATTTTTTTTTAAATAAAATGTTTCACCATCATCACTATGACCACCAAGTGCAACAAGTAAATTAAGATGAAGATCAATTGGACGATCAGTAAATTGACAACCACCAAGTTTAACACAACTTACAATACCATATTTTAATAAAGTATGTCCAGCTATATCAATACTAGCTCGACTGAATGATGCTGATGTTAAATCTGTTAATTTATGATCATTTGGTATTATTTTTAATAATTGATGATTATGAAAATAAAGATCAGCTATGTTATATTCATCAATCCATTGTAAAATACGTGTTACATCATGACAAATATTGTCAAAAAATCCATCTTTAAAAGAAACTTTTTGTTTTAAACTAATGGCAGCAAAAAGTAGATGAACACAAACATTTTTATCTGATGGTATATGAATTGTTTTGGTTTTATTTTCATTTTGCCATAAATGAGTTTTTCTAATAATTAATTTTGATGATGTTATATTCTAAAATATAAAATATCCTATTAAAAAAAAAATATCTTCACTCAATTAAATATATAAATCGTACTTTTACTGGTCTAAATATTCGAATAATATTAACTTCTGGTTCTAATCGTATATCAAATCGTTTTTCTACACTTGTACGAATTTCTTTTGCTAATGTCCATAAATCATAACCATGATTTGATCCTTTATTAATTAATATATTAGCATGTGAAGGCCATGTGCCTGCTGTACGTAAACTTTTACCTTTCCAATTACATTGCTCAATGAGCCAACCAGCTATAAGTTTTATTTTATTATTACTCAATAAATAATGAGGAATATCATTTTGTTCTTGTTGTTTTATCTTTTGATATTGATCATTTGTTATAATTGGATTTACAAAGAAACTTCCAGCATTACCAACATGTAACCATGGATCAGGTAATTTAAAAGATCGACGTTGTATGATATCCTTAATAATATTTTTACTTTGTAGATCAACAGATTCTGATAATGATTTTGATAATTCAAATGTCACATATGTAATAATATAGCGCATACGATCGTTATTATTATTTTTCCGTTTAAATATACTTGTACGATAGGCAAAATCACATGCATGTTTATCAAAGATAACAAAACGTTTATTTTGAATATCGAATACTTGACATTCGAGAAATACATTGCTTAATTCTACTCCATATGCACTAATATTTTGAATTGGTGCACCACCAACAGTACCTGGAATACCAACTAAATATTCTAGACCATTATATTTATGTTGAATTGTATAAGTAATTAAATCCATCCATTTTTCACCAGCACCAACTCTCAGTATAACTTTTTTATTTTCTTCATTATTCATGAGATTAGTAATACCCTTTATACACATATAAATGATGAGTCCATTGAAATATTCATCAACAAAAAGCAAATTACTTCCACCACCTAAAATAAGTTTTTGGTCAATATTTGTTAAATATGGATCATTAAAAATTTTTATCAAATCTTCTTCATTATTAACTCGAATAAGATAACGTGCCACAGCGTTAATACCATATGTATTTAGTTTACGAAGCGATACATTTTTTTCTACATGACACATCTATGCGTTATTTTGCACTGATTTATTGCGCAGAGGCGGAGAGGCTACATATAAGTATTGTATAAAGGTATTTCACGCGTCAATAATTGCTTACTAATAAGAAAATTATATACTCATACCTTATCGATGAATCGAATAGTTACACTTGAGAAAGATTTTCGTAATAGAAAGAGAAGAAAGATTTTTATCGATAGTCATTAAATGAAAATATCAGTTATGTATTTTTTCGATTAAATTAGTATAGTATTGATAATCTAAAATCCAAGTAGTAATCAACTACTGTCTGTATTTATTGAAAAGAAAAATAAATTAGAAAAATAAAATCCAAGTGATGCAAATGACAAAAAAACTTGACATTTCCCATCGTTTCTTTGAATGACATTGCCACCAATGTGATTGTTAATATAATTTATTCGGCTTTAAAAATTTTGCTGATTGTGTTTGATTTGTGATAAAAATTGGTTCTTTCAGACATATACATCGTTCTTTAAGTGGCACATCTCTTAGTACTTGTGCAATATGTTGACCACAACCTAGAAAAAATTATCATGAAAATATCTAAGAATATCAATGAATTTAGTATTTTGTGGAACTTATATATATATATATATTGAAGGAAAATTTTATTTCAAGCTTTTTCGACTCTCACGCTCCCTTCTTGCCTTCACAGCAACCGATATCAAAATTCTTTTCCAGAGTTCCTTAGCTATAGAAAAAAAAGCGGTAAATAGCATTAAGAATAAGACTTATACTGTTCCAGAAAGTCATAGAACATTCCACAATTTTTCTTGAAGGTTGAATGGCTGAAATATGTTTGTTAATGTTCCAAATAGTACAGTTCTTAATTTTTGCGCAAATAAAAAATTTACATTCAAATTCTCAAGAATGATGGTTAACAATGCATTAATACGACGCAGTTACTATATGATCAACATAAAAAGCATGCATTAAATAAAGTTGTACCTTCAGGGAATAATCAATATCAGTGTTTCTAAGCTTATTGGAATCTATAATAGTGTGTTGAGACCTACTGTATTTATAATGGATAGGTACAATAGGGTCACTTGTCCATAAAATTATTGATTAGAATAATAATAGTATTACATTGAGAAAGATGGAATACGAAAAAGAAAAAATAGCAAGTGCATAGCAACGAGACAAATAAAAAAAGAGTGCCAGTTAAAAAATTCTCTTCGAAAATGGAGAAATATATAAAGAGGGATCATTTCTCTGCTAACCAATTATTCTTGAAATACAAATACAGCCTGCTACAGTCTTTTCCCTTTGAATATTTTCTATGAGTATACAGCATCAGAAGAACACATGGGAGATTCACATTTTAACATCAAAGAGACTAGACTGACAAACTCTTTTTTCTTAAAGAAAAAATATTAAGAAACGTTAAAACAAAGCATCTCACCTTTCCATGTTATTAAACCACATTGGTTGCAAAGTGTCTTCATACACATTGTTAAGTAGCGAAGAAAAAAAATTGTATATTATAAGATATATTCTAGGGTATATTTAGTACACGTTTGAATAATTTAGACGGCATTTATATGTAGAATCCAATATGATCAAGGTTTTTGATTATTTTTGTTTGCAACTATATGAAGGTAATATGGGTATACCAATCACTTGTTTTTGTCGGCTTTATTTTTCGATGCAACGACGGTAAACACGTCCTTGTATAATAAAATATTTTTGTGTGCTCGATCAGTCAGTATTTCTCTGATTTGACTGTGCTTTTTTAACCTTACTGTTAATGTTTGAAAAATTAATTGATATGAAACATATTTTTGTAAAACATTTTAATTCTATTGCTAAAAATAAAATGTTTAGTTTCAAAATATTTTATTAGAAATTGATAAATAAATTTCAATATCATAATTTAAAGGTAATTTTGAACGACTACTAACCAGCAGATCTTAAAAGCTTACTTATAGGACTAAAACAATCATTTTATTTCAAATTATTTATATATTTCACTAAAGACCATTATAATTAACGTGATTTCAATGTTTGAATAAAATCACTGACAAAACTTAAATTAATTTCAATGTAAATGTTTTGTTAAAATGGGTAATGAAAAAATTTATTTGATAAAAAAAGGAAAAACAAACTAATCGTAAAGACAGTCAGTATGTATCTTTCGGTGATATTCTCGCTCTAATTATTGTTCTTCGCTTTGATTTTACAGTAGGAGATTTAACATTAACAGGAGATTTATCATCGACAGGCGATTTATCATTGACAGGCGATTTAACATCAGCAGAAGATTTAATATTTCCAGGGTATGTAATAGGAAAAGGTAGATTTTTGATGGTTTTTGATGTCTCTCGAGAATTGTGGTCAGTTTTTTTAATATTTTCTTCACGTTTGTTACTTGCCCATCGTTCACGTTGATCAATATAACGTTCATGAGCAATTTTATCTTGAATGCTTTTTGGTACATCCGGCACAAGCCATTGCATTAAGTAAATAAATATAAAAATAATATGTTCAAAAAGAATAATGAATACAAGACGAGCAGCAGTTACATTCCAATATACAGATGTGTGAGAATAAGATGGGCTAGTTGATTCACGAAAATCTCGATAACTATAATAAAAAATATTAAATAATTATCAAAAATAGTTTCATCTTACCGGCAATATGTCAAACCAGACGGTACACCTGATGGCATTGTACCAGTTAGATTATAATCTGCTATAGGAAAAGATGAAAGTGTCCAATTAACATAGCCACTCAGACTTGTTCCTGTTGATTGTAAAGAACGATAAGCCATTTTTGGAATAAATTCCGATGTCCAAGCGATCACTACGGCCTTAATAAAATAATATTTGTAGTTATTTGTTTATTTTTTGTTATTAGATAAATATTTACATTAGTTAATACAGCTAAATATGATACAGCTGACATAATATTACCCCAAATTCCAATATCAGATGCTTTATGTGGAATTGGTCGTTTATATTTAGATAAAAATTTCCATGCATCCAAACGGACTTCAATTAAATTATTAATCAATGCAAATAATGGTGCTAATCTATATAGGTTAGAAAACAAATGAAAATGAGATTTATATATATAAATCAGACGAGTTGTTAGCACAATCTGTATGAGATAAAAATTTGGAACACGATATAGTTGCTGTTGCTAACAACAGAAACATTGTTTCATTCTATATATTTTGAGACGCATTTCTTTACCATTCTTTTACTCAGTTCTCCAGAAATACAATAAGGATGTGCTTTATATATTAAAATAAGACATTATTGATACATGGTCGTTGATCGTATATCAAAACGTCTGTCATAATCTATGTGAAGGAAGAGGGAGGTACAATGCCTATTTTTAGCATGGCATGCGAACATGTGACTTTCTTGTTCGGCAATTACTAAATATCTCGCCCAAAAGTATTTTTAAAGAAAAACCTTCTTTGATGAAAATTTATTGGAGTGAATCTTTGTTCTAATTTTTTCGAGATTTTGTTTTTCTTCAAATTTGTTTTATGCTATATATGATTCAACACAATTTAACGTTCTAATCCCGAATATACTATTTTCGTTGATTTAGTATTTCCGAGCAACATCATGATTTTCAGATTAACTTTTGAATAACTGGTTTTCCAATTTTTTACTGGTTGCAACGAAGTTATTTGTGCCATTCGATAGACTATACATGTTCACGTATATTCCTCTATATTTAAATCTTAAAAACATGTGATTTTCATTTTAGTCAAATGTTTTCCGAGATAAACAGTGTCGAGGACAGAGGAGGGAAAGGGATAGAAATTTCTATCCTATACACTTCAACAATCTTTTTAGATTGTTTCATAAAAAAAAGAAAATTTTAAACTTACGGAAAAGCAATGACAAATAAGGTAACAAAACCGAATTGAATAACTAATATAATGAAATGAAATACTCCAGTTAAAATTAAAGTTCATATTTGATATTTAGTAACTAACCTAATTCAAGATATTCATCTATTAATGTGGTTGATTCAAAATTGTTTAAATTTTTATCTATTTCCCATTGTTCTTTTTTTGTGTCTATATCACGATTGCAACATACACATGCACAAGTACCACAGATAGCAAAAAAGAATTCTAATATATTGTTTACGATTTGTTTACCAGTCATAACTATATTTAAATTCGATAATTTAGTTTTCTTTTTTTTTTCAAATAAATCTTATTTTTCGGTTCTTACTGATTAAAAACTGAATAGAAAGTTCAACAAAACAACCAGCTGGATCGCACTAAATAATAAAAATATTGATTTTTATATATCTAAAATGTATTATTCAACAAGCAAATAGATAAAATCAAACCTGTTCTGTAAAATCTTTTGAACTTGATTCACCATATTTTGATGGATACTCATCAAATCTAAATTAGATTCATATAAAAATTTGTTAATATTATATTATTCTTACCGTCCTTTAAAAAATGCTATATAAAATAATGATGAATAAAAATTAACGAATTGAAAAAGATATATTTTTATTGTTAATGAATCATCATAATTCGATTGATATTTATGAAGTTCTATGAAACAAATATAATTCAACTCTAAAAAATAAAAATTTCTTACCAAGATCTGTTAATTTTCTTGCAACCCAATAATAAAATTGAGATAATAGAATTGAACAAATAAGATTCATAATAGCACTTGTTACAGTTATTATAATTGATGAATATTGTTTTACTGATGTCTCTCTTAAAATATAATCCATTTGAACACGATAAACAATTATAGCAAAGATAGTTGCACATACAATCAACATCTAAATCAGCAATGAAATAATATCTTTAGAAGAAAACAATAAAACTTTTAGTTACTGTAAATAAAACAACAAGAGCTGCAACTACAAAGAATGGTACTCGTTTGTCCATCGGTATAAATGGCTCATTTCTCTAAATATTTCTATCGATATGTTTTAATTAAGTAAATTGCATAGAAAAACAATACATTTGTAACAGGATTAATACG